TAATGCAATGATTAGCTTGGTTGGAGAGTGGTTGCAATGGTCTGGAGAAGTCCACTTACAGTGCTCTGTTTTTGAACTTAGAAATGGAGGAAGATGGTTTTACAAAACTGTAACAGGGAAAGGGATGACTTATAAATGATGTTTAGAAGCTTTTGGAAGCAAGAAGCCAAGAAACGCACGAGTTGTTTTTGGTTTTGGGATTTTTGGCCAGAATCTGCAACAATGGAAGTGTGAGATGCAAATCCGTGTTCTTTTTGTTTTTAGGGGTTAAGCATGCGTGGGATTTTTGACAAAATACTTGTGTATGTATAAGCAAAAATATTGAGTGCTTTGGAGAGTCAGAAGTACAAGTTACAAGCTAATTGCTATGTTATCTGATTTTCAAGAAAAATGGGAAAACAAGTTTCAAGAAGAAGTACAAGCATGGGCTGGGTGATTGTAAGTGTTTAGACAAGCTTCTCTTGAGTTATGGGACTTTTATGATCATAAGAAAGCAATTGCAAGGCTCAAGAACAAGTTTTGTGCAAAAAGCTACTTTATCAAAATGGCATTGTGCACTTACTCTCCAAAATGGATATAAAGCATGGCCATGCATTGAATGCTTGAATTGAGACATCTAACAGATGTGAAAGCAATTAATTATGGAGTTCCTAACAAGTTTGAGGCCTGTAAAGTAGAGATTATGCAGCATAGGTTTGAAATTTGAATCTTGTTCATCACAAAATGACTTGTAATTCAAGTGTGAAAATCCTAACTTCATCTCTTCGATTCTCCATACTCAAGAATGATATAAATGAGTTCTTGGACATTTTGGAAAGCTTGTAATGTGCTATACAATCCCTATTTGAATCACTTTTGAAAATTCCCCTTGGAACTACATGAAAAAGTGTCATGAATTTAGGTCAAAACTAGGGCAAAACTTCACTAAGTGTCCAATTTCAAGACCATGACTTTATGAATTAATAACTTAACATCCAAGAATTTTTAAGAGAAATTGTGTAAATAAATGTTGTATATATCATGGAGATCTACAACTTTTATGTTGAAAGTTTCTTCTGAATCCTCTTGCATCATGGTGAAAAATTGGCTTAAAGTTATGAAAAAACATGAAGTTTAAACACTTAGAAAAATTTCTAAGTTAGAAAACTTTGACTTTTCAAAATGAAATCTTGGATTTTTGATTTCTTGATGAATATGTTTCATATTTTGACATGTTTTGATGAATTGTGATCTTTGACATTGAATTTTGACCAAAAAGTCAAAGTTTGACTTTTCAGTGTATAGTTGACTTTTTGATTAGTTGACTGGAAATTCACTATCAATCCAATTGATCTTGAGAAATGTTTTAGGTCATGCCATTAGGTCAAAATGATGCAATTGAACTCTTGAAATCATGCTTCAAACCAATTGACCATTTGCTAGGTCAAAAATCAGGAATTGCCCTTAGTCAAAACCCTAATTTTGACCATTTTGCCCTTTTGATGATTTGATCAAATTTCTTGAGGAATTGTGGTCCAAAATTTATCAAATGATACATATGATTTTATAATGTTGATGTGGATAAAAATTATGAAGTTTGACTGTAAATTGGCCATAGTTGACTTTTCCCCGATACAGCTGATTTTTAGGTCAACTACTCAATTGACTGAGCAAAAGTGTGATCCAAGGCTTGAAACTTGACATGAGTAATCTTGGGGGTCCATAATGATCCATGAAAGTCATTTGAAGCATTGAAAGTTCAATTATCCTTGTGCAATCTCAAACCCTAATTTTGGTCATGAGTGCTTAAGGAGGTGTCTTGAGTTGATCAATCCTAGTGTAGTCTTTAACCAAGAGAGATTCTTGTGAGAAAATATTTGATAAATGAGAGGGAAAATTTTGGAGTACAACAGCTGCCCCTGTTCAATCTTCTTAAACCTGAAGAGTTAGATTGGCGGATCTGCCATTCGTGACTTGAAGGTGAAAGATGATTGAACACTAGAGTGCCCAGAAATTTGTTCTCGAAGATGGATGGTGAATGGGCTTATAGATGCCATTTGGAGGAATGTTTGTAAACATTTAAAGAAGTATCAGCACGAATCTCTTGTTGATTTATACTAAAAATTGATGTTTTACCTGTGAGGAAAAGAGTTAGTAAAATGCAGATGCCTGCATGATGTTCACTAGATGTGGTATTATGTTAAATGTGTATGGTATGTTCATGCTATGATGTATGAATGTGAGATGTATGTTTTTGTTCGGGAAAATAAATCACTGATTGCTGCTGAAGAAATTCTGGGGGGTTGAATCCCTGATTGCCGTTAGTGATGAAGAATATGCATATCGTCAAACTTTGTTGAAAAGATGCTCTCACTGGAGATTATCTCTTCAATGTCAGTTGTTATCTGGTCGGATCCAGGCTTCACAATTTGCTGAGGATGAAGTAGTCAACTTCTATCTGGTCGGATCCAGGCTTCACGGCAACTTACTGGGGGAAGAGACGAATTAACTGTTATCTGGTCGGATTCCAGGTTTTGCAGAAAATTTTCTTGAAATTGAATAGTTATCTGGTCGGATCCAGGCTTCACAACAACTTGTTGGGGATACAGAAGTTAACTGTTATCTAGTCAGATCCAGGATTCACAGTAACTTGAAGTGATAACTACTATTTGGTCAGGTCCAGGTTTCATGGTTTTTGGAAAGTTGTACTATTATCTTGTCGAGTCCAGGCTTCATAGTGTCTCTCTGGGGATCATAGTTAGTTGTTATCTGGTCGGGCTCCAGGTTTTACAATAAACTATATGAAAAATTGTAATCTCGTCGGGTCCAGTCTTTGCAGATTTCTGAGATTGATGAGGTCCATTGTTATCTGGTCGGGTCCAGGTTTCACAATAAACTATTTGGGGACATAGTTGTTATCTGGTCGGTTTCCAGGTTTCACAATGAACCTCTGAGGGTAATTGCTATCTGGTCGGATCCAGGCTTTACAACGACTTGCTTGAAAAGATAGAATTGAAAACTGATATCCCGTCGGGTCCAAGTTTCTCAGTAATTTGTCGGGGTAGAGGACAACTCTACTGGGGAAACGAAGTTAAACCTTGGTCGGGTTGATTCCAGGTTCTTCTATATCTTTGAGGGGTAGACTACTATCTGGTCGGGTCCAGGTTTGATAGCATCTTGAAGTTGAGATCAACTTTTATCTAGTCGGATCCAGGTTTCAGGTATTCAAATTTTTATCTGGTCAGGTCCAGGTTTCAATAATTACTTGAAAATTGTGCTAATATCTGGTCGGGTCCAGGCTTCACAGTATCTTTTTGGAAATACTAAAGGCTTTGCTGATGGCTTTACTGGGGATCAGGAGTTGTGGCCCTATGATTCGCAACAATCTGAAAGGAAAATTCAAACTGGAGAGTGTAGACTCAGTTGGGTAGGACAAACTCATCTTGGGGAGGATACACTCAACTGGGAAGAATAGACTCCGCTTGGGGATAATAGCCTTGGCTGGGGAAGATATACTTAGCTAGTGGAAGACAGGTTAAGCTGGGGAATTTTACGGTGTCTTGATTGTTGTATGTTGAGGAAATTTGTACTCGGCTGGGGAGTTTTGTGGTTCCTTGATTATTGTTGGGGATATAAAACCTACTGGGAAAAGGTTTATTGTAGCCATCTTTGTGGGGATAATAATAATGAGGTAACTCTGTGGGAATATTTCATATACATTAAAGAAATGCTTTCTGCTACTTAGCAGGACACATGTGCCAAATAGTTTTAATTATGTTCATTCAATTTTAGTCATTACCCAAATTTGCATTCAAAACAAAGACAAAAAAATTTCACATCGAAGTATATTTGTGTTGATACTTTGCCCATGAATATGCGTTTTTTGTACAGAGAGACGGAAATCCTAGTAAGAGGAAATCGTCGAAAGGAAAACAAAATTGAGAATGAAAACAAATAGCCATGTGAAATCATATGATTTCCTTCCAACTCTACTATTACCCCCAATGTCTTCGAATATCCCTTGCCGTTGATTGAAGTTGGTGATAAAATTGACAGTTTTGATTCCACGGGACATAGTCATACGCTTTTAATCCTTAATTTTTTCATGGACCGTCCTTTCGGGATTTAAGCCCACCAGAATACCCTTTTTTTCCCAAGTCTCCCTTTCGGGTTTTCAACTTTCCGGGTGTACAATCTTTTGCATATATCCCTAATTTTTTCCCAAACATTTTGGTTTGTCGGGATGCCCTTATTTTTGCTTAGGTGTGTCAACCTAACGGGTTTCTTATGTGTAGTGTTTTTTAACTATGTCCGCGTTTATAGGATGTGGGAAATCTTCACCATCCATGGTAGTCAGCATCATGGCACCGCCAGAGAAAACTCTCTTTACAACAAATGGCCCTTCATAGGTGAGATTGCCAGCCAGGGGAGATCTATTTGATTGGGAAGTTCTTAGTGGATATCAAAGGTGCAATCCGCAAATCGCATGTGTTAAGTATGGCATTTCACCGGTGCTTCGATCACTTCCTATAGATACCGCCTAGCTTGAAAGAGAAAGAGATCACAGGCATGTGGTGAAGCATACCGAGAGAAAGAGCAGTTAAATAAACCATATCGAGCACAGGTCTCACTCTACAAGTTCAGTTCGATGAGCTCCTAGCGGACCTGTGCCTACTATCTACTTAGTGTGTGTGCTAGGGCAAGCTGAGCAGTTCTCACTGTGTCCGGTGACCAACAAAGCTTGTGGACTACTACTGGGACAAACTCTTCTACATACTGGTGGGACTATTCACTGACTAATAGATTCGGGGAACGAAGAAGGCCCGATATCTACCTACATCTACAGTCGTAGAAGATAGCGACTTGATTGTACTATAGGCAAAGCCATCCCATATGCCCTTATTCAGTCATATAATTCACAGTTCAGCCTGCTCAGCCCCAATAAATGCTTTCTTCTTCAGGCTTCAAAGCCTTTTCGTTAGCAATCCCTTCACACCGCCCTCCTCATTCCTCATCAAGCAATGGATGGTAGTAGTGCTGTCAAGTCAAGAGTTCAGACCGTCGAATGAATTGAGGCCTGGTGGGAGGACTTGTGTTACGATGCAGCTGGCACCTTTGAGGTCTCGTTGCAGAGTAGAAAGACACTCTTGCATGCACTGTACACGGTTGGCGCGGTTGTGATAACTTAATGGAAGTTTTGAGTAGAATTCCGAGGTGTGGAAAAGTGGAGTAGTGACTTTGTGGTCCCCGATTGGTACAAGAGTCATATGGTTAATCTTGTCAGTAAGGGCAAAGTTCGGATTGAGCTTATGGTAACAGGGGGGCAAGCGTGTTACTGTAACACTTGGAATAAAAATCTTAGTTGGTCTGTCTATTCAAACCAGTACTCGAGAGAAGGGACTCAAAGCGCTGTTCTCCTAGGGCTGACTCAACTATAATTTTATGGAAGGAAGTACTCGATCACTTATAGCTGGATTTGATCCATCAATGGAAGCTCGATTGTATCGCAGGTTGGTATGTGCCGCTTTATCCTTCCTTCCAAAGGAACATTGAACGAAGGGCTCATCTATAGAAAGCAAGCTATAGCTATGGGAATAAGTCATGTCCTAAGCCTAAGGTTTTGGGCACCGTAGTATCATCTATATCGATGGCATTCAAAAGGGGATTTCCTTCTTTGCCACATCTTGATTCTCTTAATAAATTCCCTATTCAGGGTTTCCTGCTCCTCAGTGAACCGGATCAACCACGACGGCAGGGTCTACTTCTACAGGTCTTGGATTCTCCCTGCATACATAATCATCAACGACTAAAAATAAGGCTTATACTTTTATCTCCTCTGAATCTGCAATGCTGTAATCTGCATCTCCCTTAGTCTTTTCACTTCCACCTAACCTAGAACCTAGGATAGTTAGAGGTTTAGGATCAAGCCCAGCCTCAGCTATGGTCTCCCCGCAACAGTTCTTGATGAGCCGCAACCTCAGCATCAAAGAGGTTCTCACTCCCTTCCAACAAAGAAAGTTCAGCTTGATCAGAAACAGACCCAACAAGATCACCTTGGGACTGACCAGACCGAAACGGGTCAGAAGTGGAAACTCTTTACTCGCTGGAAAGAGCGAGTAGTAACAACAGGAGCTTGGAAAAAATCCTCGATGGAAACATATGGGGATAAAGCAGTAGCGTAATATCACCTGACGTACTTGAGCCAGGCTTCAGTCCAAGATCTGAGAAGTGTCATATCCTCTAAGTACTAAAAAGTCTCAGACTTATAAGTACTCGTTGGAGGCACCACAAGATCCTTAGGTCTGAAAGCTTGTTGAAGCTTCCAGATCAATCGACCTTTTAAATAAGGGTCGACAGGACAGCACTGGCCAAGCCACAACTCGAAAGATAGCTTAGCCTTTAACCAAATCTCCTTCAGCCGTAAGACTGTAGACGACTTAGTGTGGTTAAGTTTACCAAGAAGCCTATAACCAATACCATACAATCGACATAGAGTGGAAAACCTCTGTATCTTATAGAGATGACAAAGGGAATACAGTCCATGCATGTATTGTATGGGAATTAGCCAGGTTTCGAAGAGAGGGGATAAATCCACTGTTAAATTCTTACACCTAAACTTCTTAGCAAACTCAGCGCCACCCACATCTGAGACTAAAGACTTAGGAAGTTATATAGTCACACCTAAATCCTTAAGTGTAGATAGGTAGACTTTTGCGACCTTTGAGTCGGCGATACAAATATCATCGCCAAGGATAGCATACTTATCAAAGCGCTTCCCCGGATATATCTTCTCTGCACACCACCAAATGGTGGGACAGTGTAAAGAGCGGCCAAGAAGCGAGATATCCAAGAGGTTGCCCTGATCCTTGGGCTGATAGTCAAGTAATTTTCTCTTGAATGACAGGTCTACTCTCGGATACAAAGGTTCTATGTTCAAGCAATTGGGCCAACTTTCATTGGATCCTTCCGAAGTAGGCGAAGGTCGAGTTGCTGACCTGAACTCTTTGGCTCTTTTTGGTAAGTCTTCTCGGAGTAAGAACCTTTCTTTTTGAGCCGGCGCGGAGACCTATGGTCTCCATTCCGCCTTATCTTTGCTCTTTGTCAGTGTGAAGTTGCTAGCATAATATGGTAAGCAGCGGGCTTTCTATCCTCAGAGGTTCCGGTCACGCTAGTCTAGAACATCTTCCGACCGTTGGCTGCTTGCTCTCTGGACTCCTGGAGCTACTTCCTTTGAGTTGCATCGAAGAGAGTCTCTTATAAGCAAGTTCCTCTCAAAGGGAATCATTATTCGTAAGTTCCCGTGTGTAAAAGTTGCCTATTCAAAGAAAAAGGGCGAAAACCTATTGCTCTATCTTGCGTCCCTCCATCCCGGATCTCTAGGAACAGGGCTGAAAGCAACACCATTAATCGAACGAGTCGGGATGATAATCTCACATGGTGTCGTTCTAACTCGTTACGCACGCAATTGACGTAGCAGACCTCTTGCATGATTGTTTCGATCAATGATGTATTCAATCAAGACAAGAAAGATACGTCGTAATAAGATCAGGTTACATAAAGGGTGTGTGAGGGAACATCAAGAAAGAGGATCAGACCAAGTGCGAGATTGGATCAAAAATAGCGTATTAAAGGATTATGGTCTTTCTAGTACAGTATGATCGATCAAGTCATTCAGTAAAGTATCTTCGCTCCCGGAATGAAAAGTAAGCTTTATCGTTCCACTTCTTTCTGAACTCAGACAAGATTTCACTCGAGTTCAAGCTTTCGTCACTTAGTCAGAAGGGATCACCTCGGCATGTCAAAGAACCGGCGCTACCAGACCTTGGTCGTCTCCGCTGGGCGGGGCTCACCGCAAACTCGGAGGGAGGGAATAGAAGCAAGCATATTCCGTTCAGTCGGTAATGAATCAATACGCAGGGAAACTTTCTTCCATGGGAATGGAAAGTCTCGGACAGGCTCATATTGGTTGGGTATGCTCTTTCCATAGGCGACTTTCCAGAAGGTCTTCAAGGTGGATATGCTCTTCTTCGATGGTCTTTCTGAGAAGAAGATTCATAATTAACTACAATTTTTGACGTCAGGTGTCCTCAAAAAGATATTTATAGCGAGCAGCACTACTAAAAATGACCGGGGGCTTCAACCAGATTTCACCCTATGCATCGGGAATTGGATCAAGATTAACTGCTTTTTAATTAAGCTTTTGGATTTGGCTCTCGAATTTACTATTGAAAAGGAAGGGATGTTGGGCGAGGTGATGGCTCTCTTTCAAGATATGCATCTCGAACCAGGTCTCCAACCGGCACTGAAATTGGCCCTGCATTGGGGGTGCCCCTCCCCGGTCTCAAGAACTCGAGAGGTCTTAACTTAATAGGTACTGGTAGCCGATTCGTATTGTATAGCTGCTGGGAAGCATCAAGATCGATCAATGTCCTGATTGCAAGGCATTAAGATGTCAATGCCTAGTAGTTAATGTGTTCCCGGTGGGTCTATCGTCAGTGTTCTAGTGCAAATAATATATCTATGTTTTTCAAAGCACGTCAAGACCAAAACAAAGCGAACGGACGGCAGGTTACTTTGATCTCACGCGGGCCTATACTTCGGCAACTAAGAAGGGGGCTGGGCAATAAGGAGGCTCCTAGCTAAACTTGTCTCGGTCGCGAATGAACCCAACGTCAGGAAATTAAAGAGGCCGCCCTAAGCACCATGCATGTTTTCATCCTTGTTCCCCTTCTCGCCTCGCCCTATCCGACTGGACACCACATCTCGTCTTCAACTCATTCCGACACTGTGAGATCCTATGGTCACGCCTTAGTCCGAAGGGCTAAACGGGATTTTGGGCTTTATAAAGAAATGTGACTCTCCACCTATTTCATTGTGTGCTTACCCCCCTTCTGCGCTAAAAAAAAGATAGTAGATAACGTAAGACTTTGCTTGGCTTGCTCCGAGCCATCCTGTTAAGGAAGGGCGGCTAGGGTGGGAAATGAAGAATCATGGAATTCAAAATAAGGAGATGAGAAGGAAGACTCTTAGTTGTTGAATGCGAGCCACTACATAGGTGGAATTTTATAAGCTCCTTTAGGCCCGGCTAGCCCGTAGAGTCTTAGGCTTTTTGCCACTTTCCATGACGCAAGGTCGGGGTCGTTACGAATAGGACACATATACACCAAACCTTTTAAGGATGAGATTCCAGTTTGCCATTCCTATTATTTATAGGCTTCCAGTCTCCTCATAAGTCCGCTCTTCTATCTTCGTAGAATTCACCCGGCTCTCTGACTCACCTTCGCGTCTAGGGCATGATGTCTTTAATTTAAGATGATTCAATTGGTCAATCGTCTTGTTATTCTTCCGGGCCTCTCTACGGGATTGGAAGAAGGAGTTTTCACCCAAATGAGTTAGAGTTCCTCCGAACCGTGTCATTCTCGAAGTATGGCACAACACTCTGTCGAAAACACGAGGCGGGAGTGCGTCGAAGCATGAATTGACCTAGCGACGTTAACCTTGGGTGAGGTGCAGTGCACTAGCGAGCGACTTCCTTCCCCAAAACAAAAAAAAGAATGCCGCTATCATTATCATGCGCGAAGCTAAGCTTGATAGGAGCCCGAGCTAAGAGAATAGAGCAAACTCGACGTCACAAAACCAGGGATAGATCGCTCAAGGGAGCAACTCGAGATAGATGCAAGATTCTTTCTCCTGCCCTTCACTTAGAAAGAAAAGTAAATTTTTCAGCACGCACTAATTCCTAAGTTTTGTCGGTCGAATAGCCTTCTTGTGTGACCTTTCACGGGGTGGCAAGCTTTAGAGAATAGGGGCGAGGTCCCCATACTACATAAGGCCGTAAGCAGTGGCTCGACGGAGATGGTTCGAATCAAGCGAAACCAAAGGCATTCGTTGGCACCCGAGATGCTAAGGATCGAAGACTAACTTTTTGGATATGGAATAAGACTTTCTGTTTGTGCCCCTTTTTACGACCAAGTCACAATGGCTAGTATCTATCTGGGGATGCGCTGCTGTGGTGACGGACGCGATATGAGGACATGCTGGAGGGCCGTTGTGAGATCAACGCCTGGCTGGGATGGGAGGAACTAAATAGGGAGCTCAAGGAAAGGAGCAGTTCCTGCCTGGGAACGTTATATGGCTCGCACGAGAGTCCCTGATGCGGGCCGACACTGTTCGATAAAATCAAAGCAGACCATGGGGGACTGACCCGAGCTATAGACAAAGAAGGACTTTGATAGATAGAATAAGGCACTAAGACATCAAAAAGAGGGCTACTTCACTATGAATGGTAACATATGAATTGAAACTAATGCGACGGGTGTCAATTACCAAAAATGACTCGACCACTAACTCAGTCCCGCAGGACATTTCTAACACAAGGCCGAAGATGGATGCGAAGAATATTTTACTCTCGAACCATCACACGGATTCCAACCCAACAGCCCATGATATAGTAAGAACGGAATGGAAAGGCAAAAAACGATTCTATATGCAGACGTGAAAGCTCTATCGATAGAAGCATTCATTCTAGCCTATCTTTTTTTTTTAGAGAGGAACGATTCCCTCGTTTGAGAACCGCCATTCACGCACTATTCCTCCCCACTAAAAAGAGCTATTTATAATCTCGATAACCTAAAAAAATGCAGAATAGTGAACACCAAGTGAAGAGCCACCCTCCGGGAACGTCGAGAAGGGGGACGAACAACCTTGATTGGATCCGATCTGGTAGACAGAGACGAAGACAAGGATGAATAATCTGAAGAAGGCTATGCCGAATCCGAGGGAAGAAGAAGAAGCAGAACTCGCCAAGAGTCTGAGATCAGATTGAACAATTGTCAGATTTTCATCATATCAAATGCTCTTTCAGTCTACAGAAACCTGGGAGGGGTCACAATAGAATCAAGTATTCTCACACTTAATCGCTTTGCCAACGGTATGACCCGTGACAAAGTGAATAAAAGAAGGATAGATATAACTGAACTAATGTGTCCGCCTTATCATCCTTCCTCATTATCACCTTACGGTGAAATGAAGGAATGATCCTAAACCAAGGCAAATAGCCCATAATACATATGAATCCGACTGATCGGACCGAACTGCCAATGAAATCCATTTAGCCAGTTAAGCTTAGAAGAAAGAAATAGATCAGAAATCGAGTTTGAAGGCCCGAGAGTACGGGAACGGGTCCGGTAGGGAAGGTGAGAGATGATGAATGAAAGGGTCTGCCTCAACAGATGAATATGTGACTGCTGCGACTGAGGAAGGAATCGATGAAATCATTGCCAGGCGTCTTGTATCTTGGCAGAAGATCCCCCAAAAAGCAAGCAGCATTTCTTTCCTCGGTAAGGCCCGGGGGATGCCTCCTACCTTCCTTCTCGCAGTCAGCTATGTAACTCAGAAAGGTTCAAGCTACTCTTTACAGCTTCTTGTGGTTGACGCTAAAAGCTCCTTGTGACAACTCTTCTTGTTCGCTCCTACGCGTATGCCGAGTTCCATCTTTGGAAAAATTTAACTCATTGCCAGAGAGAAAACATCACAAAATTAACCGACCCCGCCCATGGTCAGTAGTCAAGATCTATTATTAAAATAGTTGTCGAGGGAAGGAAGTCGAAAATCAACAGCTCAGAAAGCTTTCCCTTGACAAACCCGCACTTTTACAGCAAAAACCGCCCGCTACTCACAGAGAACAGAGATAAGAAGGATACGAGGGCTCGCTCGCGCTTAGATTTTTTAACATGTATGCGGGCCCCTTTAACTTGACTATTTAGGTTACTTAGGCCCACTACGAACGAAAGACCAATGACACACCGGGACTTTATTAATAGAGAAAGAACCGAACCAGGGCGATAACGACCCAGGAAATGGTGAAGTACGTGAATCGACTCCCTCTTCGAGTAATTTAACATAAAAGAAATAAGAAGGGACTGACTTCTTTCTTGACAAGGATCCTGAAAAAATAGCACATGCTCCAAGGACTTCACGGAATTAGGAGGCACACTGGTAGGTATACCAAGATAAATGCGGGTAAACGACGAGGGAAATAACCCCTCCATAAAAGCATGCATTTCCAGACAATAATATTTTTTGTGGAGGAATTGTCCACATGATGAACCAAACGGAGCGGGCAGAGTTAAGTTACCATTTTAGGAACAGATGTCCCGACTGGTAAGGGAAATGAATGAAAGAAGCTTCTCCAATAGGAGGCATGTGTTGAGCATTTGTTTCATTCCTTTGGCAGCTGAAGTTCCAGTTCCATTTCTAGTTCAGGTTATGGTTCGAGTGGAGAAGCTGAGAGGGCATACCTTCCCTAAGTTGGTTAGATCGCCCGAATGAAGGAAGCTGTCTTGTCTCGCAATGGCAGAAGAAAGATATATCATTGCCAATCGGGAGGAAGGAAGAGTCATTTACCTCCTTCTCCCTATCGATGTTTGACCCGATTTTGCTCCCCCTCCCCGGGCCTTAGCAGCCCACCCCATAAACCGCTTCCCTCGACTGCCTTAAGAGAAGAGAAGAGGAGGGGATTTCGAAGAATGGAATGAAAATTCCTAAAGGTAGTTTACTTGCTTACTTGTTAGAGTCAGGAATCTTTGTAAATTTTTTCCGCAGGGAAATGGCTCCAAAGGACCTGTGCCTCTATCCTGACGAGGTTATCGTCACAGATGGTAGTCGTGAGTTCGCGGAGTACACAACCTTAAGGTAAGGTCGTGGGTCCGACAATGGCTTAACTGCGTCAAGTGGTCCATTTTCCTGTGGGGTCGCCTTGTGGTAGAATGACGTGTTTTATCACCAAGTCACCAACTTGATATACTCGAGATTTGACCCTTTTGTTGAAAGCCATGATCATCCGTTTTTAGTACGTCTGACCATGGAAAATAGCAGCTAATCGTTTTTCGTCAATCAAGTTCAGCTGATCCAATCTCGTTTGAATCCACTCGTCTTCGCCTAGGCCTACCTCATTCATAATTCTCAGTGAGGGAATTTGAACTTCCACCGGCAAAACAGCTTCCATGCCATAGACTAGAGAAAAGGGAGTTGCCCCAGTTGATGGTCTCATGCCAATCTTTATAGGTTACTACCATTTTTTACACAATCTTCTTGATATTTTTGTTGTCCACTTCGACTGCGCCATTCATTTTTGGTTTAACAGAGAAGAATTGTGATGCTTGATCTTAAATTGAGTGCAAAGCTCAGTGATCATATAATTGTTGTGGTTAGTCCTTTTGTCGGTGATGATCCTTTCGGGGATACCATAACGACATATGAGGTTGTGTCTGATGAATCTGGCTACCACATTTTTGGTGACGGAGGCAAATGAGGCGGCTTCGACCCATTTGGTAAAATAGTCGATAGCAACAAGAATGAAGCGATATCCATTGGAAGTTGTGGGCTTGATCTCTCCAATCATGTCAATACCCCACATTGAAAATGGCCACGGAGCGGTCATGACATTCAGAGGGATAGGAGGCACATGGACCTTGTCAGCATAAATTTGGCATTTGTGACAAGTTCTTGAATGTTGATGGTAATCGGTCTCCATCATTGACCAATAGTAATAGGCTCTTAAGATTTTCTTAGCCATCGTATGTCCACTTAAGTGAGTACCGAAGATACCATCGTCCATGTCTTCCATGATTTCTTGTGCCTCCTTCTTGTCCACACATCGGAGTAGAGTTGAATCATGGTTGCGCTTGTACAATATCCCGTTACTTAGGAAGAACTTGGCTGCAAATCTTCGCAAGAAATTTATGTCATTGATAGATGCCCCCTCTGGATACTCTTGTGCTTCAAGGTATCTCATCACCTCATGGTACCATGGCTTTTCCGCATTAGTGTCAAGCTCATAGCAATGTGCATGTTCATCGAATCTTTCAATTGTTATCATAGGGTCTTCGTTGTCCCATCTGACTTTGAACATTGAAGACATGGTTGCCAAAGCGTCAGCCAACTGGTTTTCTTCCCTAGGGATGTGCTCAAAAGTGATCTCTTCGAAGTAAGGAATTAGGGATAGCACAAGTTCCTTGTAAGGAATAAGATTAGGGTGTTTAGTGTCCCAATCTCCTTTTGCTTGGCTGACCACCAAAGCGGAATCTCCAAACACATCTAAAAGCTTGATCCTTAAGATAATAGCAACTTTCAGACCTAAGATGCATGCTTCATACTCGACCATATTGTTTGTGCAGACGAAGCATACTCTGGAAATGAAAGGAGTGTGGCATCCTTCGGGAGAGATGACCACAACACCAATTCCGTTACCTAAATCATTGGAAGCCCCATCAAATACCATAGTCCATCGGCATCCTGGTTTAGGTCCGTCATACAGTCTAGGTTTCGCCCAGTCGTTTACCAGTATGATGTTATCATCAGGGAAGTCGAAGTTCATTGACTGATAATCATCTACAGCTTGATGGGCCAAATGATCTGCTAGTACACTCCCTTTGATGGCTTTTTGAGTCGTATACTGAATATAGTACTCAGTCAAGATCATTTGCCATCTGGATATCTGTCCGGAAAGGGCAGATTTCTTGAAGATTTACTTGATTGGGTCCATCTTAGAAATCAACAAAGTGGTATGAGTCAACATATACTGTCTTAGCCGGCGAGCAGCCCATGCCAGAGCGCAACAAGTTTTCTTGAGCAGTGAATATCTGGTTTCACAGTCGGTAAACTTTTTTCTCAGGTAATAAATAGCATGCTCTTTTCGGCCAGACTCGTCATGTTGGCCAAAAACACACCCCATAGAGTTCTCTAATACCGTCAAGTACATGATCAAGGGTCTTCCTTCAACTGGAGGCATGAGAATAGGAGGTACTTGTAGGTATTCTTTGATTTTGTCAAAGGCAATCTGGCACTCATCGTTCCATCTGACTACCTGATCTTTCTTTAAGAGTTTGAAGAGTGGCTCACAAGTAGCAGTCAAGTGTGATATGAAATAGGCAATGTAATTGAGACGAACCAAGAATCCTATAACTTCCTTTTCAGAATAAGGGATTGGCATTATAGGATGGCCTTTACCTTGGCAGGATCAACTTCAATTCCTTTATTGCTGACAACAAAACCTAGAAGCTTTCCAGATTGTACTCCAAAAGTGCACTTGTTAGGGTTTAACCTCAGCTTGTACTTCTTCATCCTTTCTAATAGTTTATGCAGGTGATCGAGATGTTCTTCTTCAATTTGTGATCTGGAAATCATATCATCCACATATACTTCTATCTCATGATTAATCATGACATGAAATAAAGAGACCATAGCCCTTTGATATGTTGCCCCTTCATTCTTTAATCCGAACGGCATGACCTTGTAGGAGAAGGTGCCCCATTGCGTAATGAAGGTAGTCTTATCCATGTCTTCAGGAGCTATCCTTATTTGATTATAGCCTGAGAATCCATCCATGAATGAGAAGACTTTATGCTGAGCAGTATTATCAACTAAGACGTCAATGTGTCGTAGAGAGAAGTCATCCTTGGGGCTTTCCCTATTCAGATCCCTATAGTCTACACACATGAGAACTTTCCCGTCTTTTTCGGGCACTGGTACCACATTGGCAACCCATTGAGGATAGGATGTCACAGCTAGGAACGCTGCATCAAACGGTTTCATTACTTCAACTTTGATCTTTTTAGACATATCAGGTCTCATGCGACGAACCTTTTGTTTAACAGGAGGACAATCCTCTCTTGTCGGCAGACGATGAACTACGACGTCGGTATCCAACCTAGGCATATCTTCATAAGACCAAGAAAATACTTCCACATAATCACGCAACATCTAAATCAACATGCTCTTAACACTGCTTTTCAAATTAGCGCTGATCCTGATTTCCTTCTTATCTGACTCAGTACCCAAGTTGATAACTTCAACTGACTCTTCATGCGGTTGAATAGCTTTTTCCTCTTGTAATAGAAGTCTATCTAGTTCTCTCGGTATGTCACAATCTTCCTTGCTTTCGTCTTCGGCTTGGTTGATAGGACATTCAAAGTCATTGTCGGCAATAGTAGAGTCATTGGTAATAGGATCCAAAGTGGATATGGACCTGCAAAAGTGTTTGTGTGTGCATGTAAGATACATGGTTATTTTTGAAAATGTATTTGAAAGAAAGGAAAGACAATGAACACAAATATTTGAATGCAAAAGATTCCAATGTACTGAATGATCATATGATTAGATGAATATAAATAAAACCCTTGACAAATGGACGATCATTCTTCTTGGTATGAGCCCTTGCCCCATACACAACATTTACTTCCTTCTTTGCAGCAAAAGGTTTCTGGATAGGATTGGTGGTTGAGGTAGATGCCACAGAGATCTTCCCACGTTTGATTCCACTTTCAAATCTTTCACCGGTTCAGATCAACTCGATGAAACCAGAAGAAGAGCAGCCAAACAAAAAATTAAAGAAAGGACCAGATAAAGTGCCCATGAACATGTCGATGTGCTCCCTATCAGTCAATCGCAAGT